GATTTTGTTATTAAAAACATACCAAAAATGGTTTTTATGTTACCATTTACCATGTAGTTTTAAGATCTTTGTAAATGTGTTTGCTTTTCTGTCTGTAAAGGCGAATTCTAAGGAAATCTGTGAAGAAATATCCTTTCCTTCTTTTTTCAGAAAAAATGCCGATGTCAGCATGTTTGTTGAAATTTTAGGTAATTATCTCGAAAAAATGCATTTGTACCCCAATTTTTCTTCGGGGATTCCAGTAGCTCTTGCAAAATTAAAGATCTACTTTTTCTGCGTGGTCCTAACCTGGCGTGAAAACCTTTGTATTTAGTTGGCACCGTCCTTAATATGCTTAAACCACAGAGCTATCGAGGAGACAGAGAGAGTTTGAAGAATCTTTTTGCGTCTCTTGCCTAAAGCTCTTGTACGATTTACCTTTGCTTTGGAAGTTGGATATGAAGGAAATATTACGCAAAATTTCCGAAAAATCGTAGTCAAGGTTCCTTCCGTGGAAAATATTTCCCTCTTCATCCTGTGCAACAATGCTCGTGCAAAACGCTGACAAGTCGTAGACTATGTTCAACAATATCGTATCAGCCAAGCTAATGTTGAGAGCTTTGGATACACCCTTCATCTCTGCAGGATATGGCTCGGGAAAATGCTTAGCAATGCTAACGGCGAGTTTTTCTGCTAGACGGAATGCAAACCCTGGAATCTTCTTGCGTAACCCTGCCACGATCTCCAGCGAGTATTGAGCGTATTTCTTTGTGACGTTGACCCATCTTTCTTCTGGTTCTAGGTCAAGGTTTATGGTGAAGGCAGGTGCTTGAAATGGTTCGCCGAGAGCATGTTTGAGGCCAAGAAACGCAAGGACAAAGCAGCCAAAGTGAAACAGTCGAGCCGCCATTTTCTCTAATTTCAAGTTGAAGTCAGCTGACTTCCTTTTCCAAAACTATCTGTGACAGCCTGCGTGACACAATGACATAATGTTTTGGTTTAGGAATTTTTTTTCCTAAAACGAAGTTTCGACGAAGCTGTTTCGCGGCCAACATAACATGAGTTTGTTGCAGCGAATATTTAGAAGTCAAAATAAGGAAAATATTCCAGTGTCCGAAGATGTTATGCAAAAGTTGAAACAGACAGAAGAGATGTTGGAAAAGAAACAAGAATATTTAGATAAGAAGTACGATGTAGAGAACGCAACGGCAAAGAAACATGCAAGAACGAACAAGAGGCTTGCATTGAAAGCCTTGAAGAGGCGAAAACGTGCCGAAGAACAGTTACGAAAAATCGATGGAGCCTAAACGATCTTGGAATTCCAGCGCGAGGCATTGGAAAACGTTCAGACGAACACTGAACTGTTGAAAAAGTTGAACTATACTGCGCGGGGTACGCTCAGAGAGGCGCAGCAAGCTCTTAACACGGAAGATGTCAACGACGCGGTCGATGCTATTCATGAACAGACAGAAATTTCGAAAGAGATCTCAGAAGCGGTTTGTGGAGTGGGTTCGAATCAAGATTTTCATGATGACGATGACGACGAACTTACGGCAGAGTTGGAAGCGATCGAACAGGAAGTCCCTTATTACGAACTTTTTGGAAAGGAATGTCTTTTTATGGGACTACTGGACTTTCCATCAAATGCAGGCCGGGCGGCAACGAAAAAGAAAGTTGTTGGGCCATGGTCCATGTAGAAACTTTTGCAAGAAAAGTTACAATTATACGACCACCTTTTTATCAATTGCGGACGTTGCCCGTTTTGTTAAGCCACATGAGAATAATATATACCAAGTTAGGTCAGTTAGGAATATTCTCCAATTAAGCACAGCAGATTTTCTCTCATTTTTACGCTAACCGTTCTATTGTACTATTAAGGAGACTTACCGGACTAGAATCCGATCGTACAATTCTTCAGATTTTGCGGTTATCCTATTCTGCGACTGTTGCTGGCAATTTTATGATCTATCTTCGATCAACGGTGCTTGTGTGGAGAAAATTTAAAATTACATATCTTGATCAGGGGCGGATGTTTGTACCTTGTGTCCAAAATGTCGCAATTTGAGGATTGCATCCAATTAGAAACAGTTACACCCGAATTACTAGCAATGGCCTTAAGTAGAAATTACAATGAGGTACTTGTAGAGAGTTTTTGCCTTAATTTCGACCAAAATATTCACAAACTTTTTCATTTATTATCATTCTTCTTCTTCTTCTTCTTCTTCTTTGCCTCTCCAAAAGGGAGGTGGCTTGCCACCAAATACACCCTCACTGAATCCGACCCTGTATATAACACTAGGAAAAGTGCTTTTCACGACTCCGAGATGAGTACTAAATTATGTTGATAATATTTATATTTTTAAAGTTGCCCGATTTATATTTTATTTAGATTTAATCAGTCCCGCAGATTTAGAATATACAGAGTCGTAAAGGGGAGGGGGGAACGGGGGAGCTGCCGATAGTAGAGGGTAGATGGAGGTTTTTTTTGGGGGGGGGGGATCATACTGATGGACGACTGAAAAGATTGTTGATCATGACTGAAGCAGTTTTATGATCAACCTTTGCCTGATATGAAAGCATAATTGTGCACTGTTTTGGAAAAAAAGCCGGTCTTCGCGTTTTTCCACAAGAAAAAATACAAGCGTCGAAGTTCTTTTGCACAGGGAGAGAACTCAGCGCGGACTTGGAACATATTTCAGTTCGCATGGGTCCGTATTTCTTCTGGTGCACCATCCAGGCTCAGATATAGAACGTTTGGGCGAGTGTTTGAAATGATCATAGTTAGTCTATGAAATGATTCACCTTGAGAGTGGAACACCAAAACAAGGCAGCCAAACGGTCGAGAATAGATCAGTCGCGCCGCTATTGTTATCGATTAGCTCACTTCCGGTTACAGAAATATCCGTGACTGACAACTTGATTGACGCTTACACGACCAGTTACACAATTTCCTGTTATAGCAATTTTGAAAGAAGCGCAGCCGTTACACTGTTGCGGAGTCTCCGGAATTTTTCATTCCTTTTTCTGCCGACATGAGTTTGTTGCAGCGTATGTTTGGAACTAAAAATAAGGAAAATATTCCAGTAACGGAAGATGCCATACAAAAGTTAAAAAATACCGAGGAGATGTTGGAAAAGAAGCAAGAATATTTGGAGAAGAAGATCACTGCAGAGAACACAACAGCGAAGAAGTATGCAAAAATGAATAAGAGGCTTGCATTGCAAGCATTGAAGAGACGAAAACGTCTCGAGAAACAGTTGAACCAAATAGATGGGACTTTATCGACTATAGAATTCCAACGTGAGACCTTGGAAAACGCTGGGACGAACACCGAAGTGTTGAAAAACATGAAGTCCGCTGCAGATGCGCTCAAAAACGTGCATCGATCGCTCGGCGTGGAGGATGTTCATGACATTATGGATGATATTCATGAGCAGACGGAAATTTCGACGGAGATCTCAGAGGCGATTTGTGGTGTAGGCTCGAATCAAGACTTCGATGATGACGAACTTAGAGCAGAGTTAGACGCGATCGAACAAGAAGGCCTTGATGGCGAACTTGTTGGAATGGAACGCCAGGCCATAGGACTACCGGACGTTCCATCGAGTGCTCCGGCAACAAAAAAGAAAGCTGTTCAAGATGAGAATGAGCTGAAAGAGCTTGAAGCATGGGCCATGTAGAAACTGGTCAAAAGATTTGAAATTTTATAACCTTGTATCAACACAGGCATATATTTGTTACACGCTTGTTTGAAATTGTTGCCAGAAGGCTATGCTGTTTTACATGTAGCTTGGGGACATTTGCTAGTATTAGCTTAAATTTAGCTAAAATTGTGTTCATTAAGTGAAAGTGTCATATGTGTTTTTGCAAAAAGAAAATTACAATTTTAAGCTACCAGTATGCTTGTGGTAGTGCTTACTCCAAATCTAATATTCCTGTTGTTTGGGAAAAAAATGAAGCATTTGGAAATTCTGTTCATAAAGAGAAATAAATTTAAAAAATATAAGAATCTGGAGGTGCATGAAACAAAAATACGAATTTCAGATTTGTTGCAAACAAAGTGTTATATGTAAATAAATATTTACTGTAATTCAGCTGTAATAAACAGCTTGTTATTGCCTAAAACATGAATGTCTTCAATTTTAAGACTGAACAACATAAGCTTAGTCTGACTTTTTCCACCTGGTTCAAGGTAATATTCTTTCTGTCTGTTCCTCAATAAGATTTAGACAAACACAAAAAACAATCACATATTTGCAGAAATGAACAGAGAAATAAAACTAGTCATGTTGGAGTAACCACTAAAATCTGATTAGCTTGCACGTGAAAAAAAAAAAAAACGTGACCATTTCTTTCCAATCAGCTAGCTGCCGCAGCTAGGTTAGGTGCAGGGACAGATCCAGGATTTTCAAACAGTGGTGGCTGGTACCATGGGGTTGTAGAATCAATTGGGCAATTGGCTCTCCAACAAGGGGTCGCTAGCCTGCCCAATCCCCCCCTCCAATTTGCCCCTGTGGGTGCTTTCACTTCCCATGTCTAGGATTATAGTATTTGCACTAGACTTTAGTGGAACAGCCTGAAGGGCAGCCTGCGAACATAGACGTATTTCTGGCTGTCACTTGGATCCGCCAAAAATATTTATTTACTTTTTCGATATAATACTTTAATTTTCAGCAGAAGCAAGTTACAGCTGGAAATATGTCTGTGTTCACAGCCTACCTGAAGGGGTAGAACAGATGCTGGGATTTGTCTGTTTTTTCACTGAGAAAATATAATTTGTTTCTCTGGGACTGGAAATCACAAACAAAAGAAATGTGAATATGGGATTTAGGCCAAAAACAGGCCTGAAATGGAATCTGTACAAAATTTGAAATTCTTCCAGCCCTCCTTTAGGACCCTCTTAGTGGTCAATTTTGTGATGTGTTTTCACTCACATCATGATTCTGGGGAGGAGCGTTGCATGATGACACTAAAAACGGCTACAAGGGAGACTAGATTCGGGTATATCATATAAGGGAAATTCCGGGCAGCATCTTACCTTCCAATAAAATATTGCTTTTCTGACTTGATTCCAATCCACATTTTTGCGAGGCTCAAAGACCAAAAAGAACTTTTGAGTCTCCTTCTCCGATTCCAAGAGTTCATTCCAGTCTTTATTTTTAAGTTCCATCGCGCGCGACTGTGACCTGGGCACTAACCTTGCTCAGTTTTCGCGCTTTCAAGGAAAATTTTCATGAGGAAAATTGAAGCATTTGGCATCGGAAGTTGAATAGTGATTGTTTGCCTTGAGGCTCGAACAACAGAAACGAAAACAAGCTCAACAAACTGGATGCTACGTCGATAAATACAACGAGAATTCTTTGTTTTGTTTACAAGAATTAAGTTTCGTTGTTCTCGCTCGCTCGTTCGCCATGTGTGGGCAAGCTCGATCCGTCATCGCTGAAAACAAACGATCGAATTGAGAAGTGCACAAGCGATAAGATTTCTTGTAAATGGATCTGGAGGATCTATCAAACTTTTGGGCAAGATTTCAGATAGCTTTCTCCTGGGATTACCCTGAAGGATTGGATGTACAAGCTGTACAATCAGCCGTATTCCATGTCGTCGGCGATGGTGAAACAAGGTATGATTATAACTTATTTTAAGTTTTCATTCATTTCATTTTGAACCTTACTTCTCATAACGGTACAAGATGAATTATTTTGTTTGCTATCGATGTTAAACCGTTTAATTTGCCATCGGCAAAGTAGCGTTTTAAGCTTGTATCGATTTGTTCCAGTGGCGAAACTGAGCAAATATTGATGGCGCCGTTTCAAGCTAACCGAAAACGGGCTTATTCAATTAATCCCCGTGGTGCGCAAATAAACAAAATGTAACAATTCGAGATCGCCTTTAATAAGTAGTACGTAGGTAGGATTAAAAGTCTAATCTATGTTAGCAGTCTCTTTTAATCTTAACCTTTTAGCTTTGAGAAGGAAATTAAGAAACACACATGCTAGGTGAAAACATTAGGGGGTCTTCGCTCGTAGAACGTTAGCTTAGTTCTTTGTCACGCGATCCAATCAATTTTTTTTCTTTTGGTTAAAAATAGGTGTGATTGTTTAGGTTTAAACCAAGTAATTTTGTGATAATAATTCGACGTCGTGAAACAATGCATTGTCTACAAACGTTATAAAAATGTTTAAACCTGGTTTTTAATTAACTGAAGTACTAAGTAATGAATCTTACTAGAAGTATTTCTAAATGCGATTCAAAAATCACTGGACTTGAAAAATGATTGCAAATGATTATTTATTCTAATTACTATGAAAACACGCTTGTCCTATGTCTTTATCTTTTGACATAAGTCAATATTAATTTTCTTCAGAGCAAGTAAATGTTTATCTTTACGCTGAGGTAAACAAGGACAAAAAGGGTTTTTTCGGCCTTTTTCTATACTTGTTCAACCATAGTTGATTGGAATCTCCATTTTTCTTAATCTTTCTCATGTAAATTCGAAATTATAAACTGTGGGTGTGTAATGTATTCTTAATGTGCGGAAGAGAATGTGTTAATTGGGAATTATTGGTAGCTGAGAAATTTTCTTTCTTTTTGAAAGACTGACAGCTTATAAGAATGACAATTAAGTTCAAAAGGGTAAAATTTATATGCCAATCTTGTGAAGGAATGCTGCTGCAAAGTTCCCAAAGAAATGTAAATTCTGACAAAGGACATAGCGCTTATCCTTTGTGAGTCAGATTATAATATTATTTTCTTTTTTGGGTTGTAGCAAGATTCTTTTAATTCTTTAAGTAACAAAGTACACACAGCAAATGTACCTTAATTACCAG